GAGTAAAAGCACGAATAGAAACTAGATCCTGTGAGCAGGCAGCATGTCTGCGCATTGATGAAAAGCTGTGATTTCTGTGATTAAATGGCGCCATTATCTTACACAAGATGAAGTTTGGGAAAGCATTCTGCCAGGGCTGAAACTGTTCCAATGCTCCCAGACTTTTTCTTATTTTTTTATTTCCCCAAACATCGAGGTTTCCAGCCCAGAGACAGTGCTGAAGGCCTACAGTGGGACCGCCTTTCCTCAGTCCCCAGGGACCGTGACCAGAATGTAGCTGCAGCCTTGTGCAGCAGGGGAACCACTGCTGCTGGGCTGGGTCCTGCATATGGGGGTGTGCTGGGTGTGAGTGAGGGTGCTCTAAAGAAAAACTTTTACTCCAGCAGAAAGGGGCAGCGCAGGCAATGCCAGGAGGGAAAGACCGCTGAGGGGGAAACCTGGACATTCAAAGCTCATTTCAAGCCATTGCAGTGTGAACCTTACGTGGATCCTGATTCTGAAAATACAAACTGTGGGGGAAAAGCTATGATGCTTATGAGACAGTTGGAAGTTTAAACTCTGGATATTTTATGACTGAGGAATTATTGTTCATATTTTAGATGTGATAATATTATTGTGATTAGAGTGTACATCTAAAACGGTCCTTATCTTTTAGAGATAGGATGTCTCAGATTTGTTGCAAAATGATACGGGTGAGGGCTGGGGTTGGCTGCAGGCGCATGGTCACGGGACTGGACGGTCATGCCTGGGGCTTCATTATAGTAATTCTGTCAACTATTGTGAATGCTTGAGCTTCTCCACTGCACAATTTAAAAAATATATTTGTTGCAAAAAGATGGTAGATAGGTTCTAATATGACAACATGCCACTAGGAAGAGTTCCTTGCCTTTGAAATTCCTTCTCAACCCTTATTGCTCAAGAAGAAAGGCCCCTATCGTCCAGTGCTTGGTCCTCTCCCGCTGAATGGTGAGAACAGGCCTTGGGCTCTGAGCCTTTGGCAGGAAACAGTGTCTCCTCGTAACTTAAAGGCATCCCTTTGTTTCGTTGTATTTATTTTATGGCTACTTCTATTTTGGCAACAGATACTGTTTTTCTACTTACTGGAGTGACAAAGTTTCCTTTTTAAATATATGTAAACACTTTGATTTAAAACAAATAGGAAATAACAGCACAGATGGTACTCAGATACTGTAAGGTTTTTCTGAGTGGTAGGAAATGCCAAGCATGGAAGTCACCGATACAAGTCATTTTCCTATCTCATTTTATTTATCAGGTAGACAAATCTGGGGTCTCTTCATCCCTGAGGGTCTCTGTGCCTGGGGCAGCATGGCCTGCTCAGGCCATGTCCACTGTCTCCCTGAATCTCAGATAAAGCACTTGATACCCAGAGAAGGCGGCCAAAGACAGGGAAGGAGGGTGCTGCATGGACCCCGGGGCCCCAACATGGTCCCTTACCAGGTTCACTGGCAAGTGAAAATGGGAGGGGGGACAGAGTTAAAGACAATATAAAGGGAAACATCTCAAATGGGAAAATGTTCTATCCATCATTTTGTTGCTTCCCATTCGTAGTGTTTTGCTGGGGAAATTTCCTGACTGCCTTAAATTAAGCATACAGGTGGTCAGCAAGCTGTGTCCACCCGGATTATTTTGTTAGGCCTGTTTGCTTTTTTGTTTGTGTAATTAAACTTTTTTCTTTTTAGATAACTGTAGATTCACAAGCAGTTTTAAGACATGGAGAGAGGGCTTCCCTGGTGGCGCAGTGGTTAAGAATCACCTGCCAATGCAGGGGACATGGGTTCGAGCCCTGGTCCAGGAAGATCCCACGCAACTAAGCCCGTGCACCACAACAACTGAGCCTGAGAAGCCCGCGCACCGCAACGAAGAGTAGCCCCTGCTCTCCGCAAATAGAGAAAGCCAGTGCGCAGCAACCAAGACCCCATGCAGCCAAATATAAGTAAATAAATAAAACTGATTCTTTAAAAAAAAAAAAAAAGACATAGAGAGAGACATATTTAAGACATACAGAGAGACTCATGCACCTTTACCCAGTTTCCCCCAATGGTGACTGCTTGCAAAACTATAGGACACACAGGGAACTATATTCAATATCTTGTAATAACCTACAATGGAATAGAACCTGAAAAAAAATATATATATATAAATGAACCACTTTGCCATACACCTGAAATTAACACAACATTGTAAATCAACTATACTTTGATTAAACAACAACAAAAAAAACCCATAGGACATTGCAACCAGGATTTACCATAGACACAGTCAAGACATAGAACATTTCCAGCTGCACAAAGATTTCACATGTTGTCCTTTTATAGCCACATCACCCCCCACCCCTACCCCGTCTGGCCCTCACCCACTGTCAATCACTCACCTGTTCTCCAGTTCTATAACGCTGCTTTTCAAGAACGTTATATGAATGGAATTATGCCGTATGTAACCTTTTGCGATTGGCTTTTTTTCCACTCATCATAATTTCCTGCAGATTTGAGTTGTCCAGTGTGTCATTTGTTCCTTTATTGCCGAGTAGCATTCCATGGTGTGGATGCACCCAGTCTATTTAACCATCACCTGTGGACGGACCTCTATGCTGTTTTCAGTTTTGGGTTATTATGTTTGTTTGTTTGTTTGGCAGTACGCAGGCCTCTCACCGCTGCGGCCTCTCCCGTCGCGGAGCGCTGGCTCCGGACGCGCAGGCTCAGCGGCCATGGCTCACGGGCCCAGCCGCTCCGCGGCACGTGGGATCCTCCCGTGTCCCCTGCATCGGCAGGCGGACTCTCAACCACTGCGCCACCAGGGAAGCCCCAGTTTTGGTTTATTATGAATAAAGCTGCTTTGAACATTTTATGTATGGGCTTTTGTGTAAACGTGCGTTTTCATTTTCCTGGGATAAATGGCCAAGAGTGTGGATGTTTGTTTTTAATAAATCAATTGCATTCATTTACAGTTGAGCTGTTTCATCTACAAATCCACATTTTACTGATTTCTTCTCAATAACCAGAAGATCTGGAAAGATGGGGCCATAGGGACTCATGATCCTAACAGGCCAGATGGGCTTAAGATCCCTGATACCCGCCCTAGTCCTTTGTATTTATTTACCTGCTGGGCAAGCCTCCTGGTTTGCCAATTTAAGTGGCCATAATTGGAACATAATAAGTTATATCATGAATTTTAACGGTATACACACAGGTATTTGCTCGTATATGCATAAAACCTGTCTGGGAGTATACACAAGCAGAAAATACTGGTTGCCTCTGGGAAGGGTACTGGGTGAGGGGCAGCAAGGGGTAGTCACTTTTACTGTGAGCCCTTTTGAGCCTTTTTTAGCTTAAACCCATCTGTTATTTACTAAGAAATGAATCAATAAAACATGCAAACAAGAACACTAAAAATTCCTCACAGATACCTGCTCTGAGGCTGCTTTGTCCATACAACTCTTGTTTCTTTAGACAAGAGAACCCATTGGAATTTCCCCACCCAGGGAAGAACCCAGCTCCAAGAGATCTCTGGTCTGGGGCCTTTAGGCGTTGAGGGTGATCCCCAAACACCCCTCCTCGCCATCCAAAAGCTGGATGACCCCTGAGGGGCACGCTCAGACCATCTGGGCCTCTCTGAAGCCTAGTGAGGTGTCTATGCCCAGCCCAGGGGCCACCTCCTCCAAGAAGCCTTTCCCAGCCTGACTGAAATTCAGCTTCTCCCTCCCTCATCAGGCAGGGGCATCCATGTGCCTATCGGTTACAATCCAGGGCACACTTCCTGGACCCTTCACACAGGCTGGGCCCCAGTGCACTTACCCCGCCTCTTCCTGACCTCCCACTAGGCTGGGCCCTCACCGCAGCAGATTAACTTCTTAAAGGCACTGGTGCACAGGGTACCTGCAGAGCTCACCCACTCCTGTAATTCGTGACAAAGACTACTACAAACCTAGGGCACAACCTGTAAAGTGAATTTAAGATTTAGGGTTTCTGCACGCACAATTCAGTGATGCTGAACGTTCTCTCCCCCCCACCCCCCGCCCCGTGCGTGCAGGGGAGGGGGAGGATGTGCTCTGGCAGTGTTGGCGCCTTAAATCTGCCCTTTGGGTAACCTCCTCACGGCTTCCGGAAGACAGTGGGTGCAGCGCAGAGAAGAAGGGCTTTGGGACCTGAGAGCGTCAGTGTTGCCCTTTGTGGCTGCGTGGTCTTCAGGCCAACTCACCCTGTTTCCTCCTGGAGAACTGGGGATCATGATGCCTCCCTGGCAAGGCTTGGAGGAGGTTGAAGGGGGAGGGAGCACCCACAGGGCCCCTAGGGCTTCAGCGAGTCGTTTGCCCTTGCGGAACTGGGCCCCTCTACTGGTTGCCTGGGCCAGGATGCGCTCCGCACTCCAGATTTCCTGGGGGCCTGTTCCTTTGTGTGTTGATGGTCTGAGCTCAAGGTCTCAGGGGCCTGGCGGACTTGTCTGTTGGGCCCTGGCCAGGGTCATTGGCCAGAGGTGCTGAACAGGGCCGAATGAATGGCTGCGGGACGGCTGAGAGTCTCCACATCCGCGTGCAGTGTCGCCCGAGAGTTTGAAACCAAGAGTTTGAAACCAGGGGTACGAGTGTGGAGGCCAGAAAACCGTGCAGTGCTTCCCGCGTGGTCGAGGGGCGCCACCGCCGCAGGGCGCCTCATCCCTTCTCCCCTGCCCACGGTGACTCGGGCGCGCGCCCCATCCCACTCACCCCGGCCCGCGTGGCCTCGGGTGCGCTCCCCAGCCCCTCCCTCCGCCCCGTAGGGCCGGGGGCCGGGGGTGGGAGCCCGGCCCGCTCAGTTCCAGCGCTCAGGGCCCGCCGGGGCCCAGGAAGGGGCCCGAGGCCTCGGCCCTCGCCCCGCCCCCTCCCTCCTCCCTCCCGCGCTTATCACCTGCCGGCCGGGCGCGCGCGGCCGGGGACGGAGGGCACGAGGGGAGCGCGCGCGCGTGCGCGCGCGGCCGGGCTCCGGGTCCCGGGAGGTGAAGCGCGGCGAGGATGGTGGCGCGGGGCCGGCGGCTGTGGCCGCTTCTGCTCGCGCTCTCGGGGCTGCTGGCGCTGGGCCCCAGCGCGCCGGCGGCCAAGCTCAACATCCCCAAGGTGCTGCTGCCCTTCACGCGGGCCACGCGCGTGAACTTCACGCTGGAGGCCTCGGAGGGCTGCTACCGCTGGTGAGGCGCGGCCAGGCGCGGGGCCGGGGCGGGAGGCAGGCCTCGGGCGCGGGCGGTCGGGCGGGCGCGCTGCAGGTGCGCGGGCGCGGGGAGGAGGCCGCGGCCCCGGGCGGGTCCGGCGGGGCCTGCGGCGCGCGGCCTTCGGGCCCGGCCGGCGCCAGGAGGCCGGGAGCCGCGCGCCCCCAGCCGGCCCGCGCGGCAGGTGCGCCGGCGCGCGCTCCCGGGCGCCGGCTTGGCGGCCGGGCGGGCACTGGC